GAGATACATGGGCAGGCAAGCAGAGCCTACGCGTCAAGTCCATCGCACCCATCATGTACAATATCTATCTGCGTAACCCCCGGAGATCTCGGAGATTCGTATCCTGCCAAGTACACACACAAACAACCATTGTCAGTGGATAGCGCTAGTTCGTGTGTACACAATGGGAAGAGAGTGCTGTCTCTCTACTCGCATTAAAATTCGAAGGCAAAGTACCGCAGGAGGGGAGGGTAAAGAGGGGCTCTTCTGTGTGACCACGGGTTGGAGTAAACGGCACTATTATAGTGCCGTGAGCGCTGATTTGAAGTGAAGACAAAAAAAAAAATCATCGCTATCAAAGGAAAACTCGTAACTCGTTTAATATCATGAGTTATTAGGAAATTGGTGAAATGGGGCTTAATTGGCGGGGGGTGGTATTTTCCGTTTTTTCAGCTTCGAGGAACGATGTAGGTCTATTGTACTGACTCTGTTTTCGTTTTTTTTTTCTACACTCAGTCAGGTACTGATCTTGGCTTTCGCTCAATACCTCGATTGTACTCTGGTTCAACATGTTGACAAAGTACCAGCTTGTTCCGCACAGGGTGGCTTAAGTGGGGCTTAATAGGGCCACCTGCTCTAGACCTCGTCATAGCGAACAGACGAAATCGCCGACGTGCAACATGTAGCTGTAGTTGTAACGCACCAGGCAGGGACCACGACTCGAAAGATCGCAACAACAAAAAAAACAAGGGAAATCAGAATATGCGAAGCTGCCGGGAATTGAACCCGGATCTGATCCGTGACAGGGATCAATTCTAACCATTATACCACAGCTCCCCGTTCGATGAACCGAATGAGACACTTTCTCCATATACTCCACACTTTTTCCTGTTTGAGCAGGTTGTCGTCGGCTCCCTTGTTGGAGCAAGGTCGTTATTATATAAAATTTATTTGCTTCGGAGTACATAGTATCGGCATTTCGCTGAATACCTGCTGTATGACATTTCGGGATGTTGAGACAGGGGAAGGGTTGGGGCACTACTAATAATTAATACAATGCGGACGCGCAAGGACGCGTAAACGTGAACTTCGTAATTTGACATCCGCACCAGCCAGCATATATATGACGCTATTATTAATTCATTGCTCATGGACGAAACAAGTACAGCATATTTATTCAGGGTAGTCCTCGGTACCAGTTTTTTTGACGGACACAAAACGGGACGGTTTGCAAAATGACGGTAGTTTTTTGGCGGTTTGACAGTACTTCGTTTTTCGACGGTACCACTTTTGGCGGTTGACGGTATCGCCGAATTTGCCGGTACTTTTTCGGCGATTTTGCAAAATGACGGTAGTTTTTTGGCGGTTTGACAGTACTTCGTTTTTCGACGGTACCACTTTTGGCGGTTGACGGTATCGCCGAATTTGCCGGTACTTTTTCGGCGATTTTGCAAAATGACGGTACTTTTTGTACGGTTGGCGGTACTTCGTTTTTTTGACGGTACCGCAGTATGACGGTACTTTTTTGACGGTACCGCAATATGACGGTACCACTTTTGGCGGTTGACGGTATCGCCGAATTTGCCGGTACTTTTTCGGCGATTTTGCAAAATGACGGTACTTTTTGTACGGTTGGCGGTACTTCGTTTTTTTGACGGTACCGCAGTATGACGGTACTTTTTTGACGGTACCGCAATATGACGGTACCACTTTTGGCGGTTGACGGTATCGCCGAATTTGCCGGTACTTTTTCGGCGATTTTGCAAAATGACGGTACTTTTTGTACGGTTGGCGGTACTTCGTTTTTTTGACGGTACCGCAGTATGACGGTACTTTTTTGACGGTACCGCAATATGACGGTACCACTTTTGGCGGTTGACGGTACTCCGTTATTTGACGGTACCTGTTCGGCGGTACTACAAAATGACGGTAATGCCGGTGCTTGGCGGTTGACGGTATTTCCTTCGAAGACCACGCCATCGAGATATGATCAGATCGTCAAATTGAGAAACTGAAATACTGAGCAGCCACGCGGAAACATACAACACGAAAAGAAAACAGACGGACAGATCGATGCGGCCGGTTCACTTGCATTCCCACCCAACGAATCGCCAGTAGCACCAGCACCCTCGACACTACAGTTGTTACCACTGCCGGACTTCCCCTGTACAGCTGCCATCTATCTGGTTCTGCTGGACCGCACGCACTCTTGTTGTTGTTGTTTGTTGTTTCTCACATTAGCTCTAAAAAAGAAAGATGGGGAGCCCGTGGTCTCAAAACCCGGCATACACGACCCCACGAAGAAACAGAAAAAAGTAGGGTACAAAAACCACTCGGAAGAGAAACAAAATGATAGAAAGAAAGACCAGCTACCGCACCAAACGAAAAAGAGCGTCGAGGAGACCGATCAAAATAAAATAAAAGGAGAACGGGGAACGCTTCCCACACCCGCCTACAACGCCGGAGGCTCTGGGACCGCGTGTGTGCGTGTGTGGCTGCAGGCCGTGGTCTTGCGACCATCAACGCCAAAGGCCACAAAGCAGAAAACAGGTTCTCCCGAAAAGCAACAAACCAGCTCGATAGAACCAAACGAAGTCAAACAAAGAAAAAAGAAAAAGCAGAAAAAAGACAAAAAACAACAGGATGCCGGAGTTGAACTGCAGTTCCTCTCTCGACACGTCAACAAATAAAAAAATGACCAGCAAATGATGCTGGCGGACTCCTGTCGATACATTTTGACGGTATCGCAGTAAAACGGTACTATTTTGGCGGTTGACGGTACTTCGTTATTTCTACGGTACTTTTTTGACGGTACCGCAGCATGACGGTACATTTTTGACGGGTACTGCAATATGACGGTACCACTTTTGGCGGTTGACGGTACCGCCGAATTTGCCGGTACTTTTTCGGCGGTTTTGAAAAATGACGGTACAGTGCCGGCCCGCACTGAAGAATATGGCACTTAAGAGTTTCATGCTCAAAAAATCCAAACTTAACAATTTACCGATAGGAACACGTGCTCAGCTGCACGCCCTGTTAGAAACAAGAACACACACCTGAGGTTCAAAACTGCTGCTACAAATAAGAACGACAGCAATGCAGCGGCTGCCAGATAAGAATACTCGCAGGGGGAGGGAGGGAAGAGGGGGAAGTGATCCCTGAGTACAGAGTATTGGATTTGGGAGGGGTACATACCCCACATATCAACATTTGCATATTTTTAGAGGGGGGGGGTGGGCATTGTACGCACGCGTCGTGCCCCTGGGTGCCCCCGAGGNAAAAATGACGGTACAGTGCCGGCCCGCACTGAAGAATATGGCACTTAAGAGTTTCATGCTCAAAAAATCCAAACTTAACAATTTACCGATAGGAACACGTGCTCAGCTGCACGCCCTGTTAGAAACAAGAACACACACCTGAGGTTCAAAACTGCTGCTACAAATAAGAACGACAGCAATGCAGCGGCTGCCAGATAAGAATACTCGCAGGGGGAGGGAGGGAAGAGGGGGAAGTGATCCCTGAGTACAGAGTATTGGATTTGGGAGGGGTACATACCCCACATATCAACATTTGCATATTTTTAGAGGGGGGGGGTGGGCATTGTACGCACGCGTCGTGCCCCTGGGTGCCCCCGAGGAAAGCGTGATGCGCGGGCGGGGTGAGCTCCCCAAGGCGAGGTCAATTCTTATCATGGACAACCTGCACGCGCAGACCACGGACGAGTTCAACGAGTATCTTGCGAAGCACTGCAACACTCTCGCCTGGTATGGCCCTTCGAAGTGAACGGACGAGGTGCAGCCAGTTGATGCAGGAGCCGGACGATTCTCAAGGTGGAAGTCGGGAGGCAGATGGACATATGGCTCGAGCAGTCGGACAACCTCGAGAGGTGGGAAACCGCGTCGCTGACAGCTTCTAATCGGCGCGTCCTGATCACCCAGTGGATGGGAGCGGCTATGGCAAGACTCAACATCCAACAGGCGTACCGATACCGTCTTTTCGAAAAGTGCGGGATGGCCATGACCGTGGACGGCTCGGGCGATGATCGAATCACCTTGGAGGGTTTGGACAAGCCGTATACCTTTGCTGATGGTGAAGACAGTAGCGACGACGAACAAGGTTCGGAGAACGGCAACGATGAGCCTGAGGGGCGGGCGGAGGAGGGCGATGGAGGACGTGAGACGCTCATGGAGGGCGTTGACTCCAGCGATGAANGGGCGATGATCGAATCACCTTGGAGGGTTTGGACAAGCCGTATACCTTTGCTGATGGTGAAGACAGTAGCGACGACGAACAAGGTTCGGAGAACGGCAACGATGAGCCTGAGGGGCGGGCGGAGGAGGGCGATGGAGGACGTGAGACGCTCATAGAGGGCATTGACTCCAGCGATGAAGACGACGGCGGTAAGTTTGTTTTGCACAAAACCAACTCTTCATCTGCTTTTTGTTGATGACGACGTCCTTCATGTTGACGTTAGCTTGTTTCCGTGCACGGCTACACTCAAATTATGATAAGTTCAGGTTGAGTTTGGCGACGTGACACCCTAACTTCTTGTGTTTCCCGTTGCCTCGTTCGCAGACATCTCTCAACCCCAGACCNCTCCTCAAATCCTAACGGAGATGATTACGTATCGCACAACGGCTGGATCCGAATTGCCGGCTAGCTCCGAAAACAAGGAGAGGTGGGGGAGTAGCTCAGACGAATGGCTGCGTGTGCGCTCCTTCATGTGCATACTTGGCTGACACTTTGAAGGGAAGAATTCTGGTTCAGTGGAATTTTGGCGGCATTTCGGCATTTCCGGTATTTGCCGTTGTCACCTGGATGCATGGGACACGTAAATTTGTCACTCTACTTGCAAGGGACACGTTTCATTTTCAGTGTTCCCCATTGCGGTTTCGCTTGAGAGCATTAGTAGATCAGGAAGGGTACGCAGGACCAACGTCACCCTTGTGGACCAAGAAGGTTGACAGTTGCTGCTCCATGCCTTGGTATTTTGTTGTATCGACAGCCGTACTAGTGTTGCTCATGGTTGACAGCCGACCATATAGCAAATGATGTTAAAATACTGCAAGTACAAGAACGCTCCTTTGTGGAGAAGAATGGACGACGAAATAAGAACTTGGCAAATAAGAACTGGTGCCCGGGTTGGGGCAGCTGAGCCTCGCCCAATAGAGGAGGTTCTTAAGTGCGGGCCGGCCCAATTCTTTGAACAACATATTGGTGAAATTGAGAGCGAAGCATGAAATTGAGAGCGAGAGCCAAAAAAATAAAATTCGGGTCCAGACGCCTCTTGCCATTTCTTGGGAAGTAGGGGGCGGGCTCTTCTAAGAAGCGGCGCAAATTGAAGGTCTCATCAGCAGCGTCACGAGCATATGCGTGTCATCGTCATCAGATGCTGCAGCTAGCAGCTAGACAAGTTGCTAGATTTCCCCAGATTGACTATTCCTGCCTCAAACTGTTGCAAGACGGTTGGCCTCGGGCGGTGGGCTCTGGTGTAGCTTCTGCTCGCCGCTGTATCTCCACATCGAGATACTCCCACAGGATGACCAGGGTATCTGCTTGTAGCTACGGACTGGCCCTTGAATTCAAGCTACACAGCAAGCTCCACCTCTCAGCAGTAGCCCAGCTGCAGCGAATCGCGCAATCTCGCTCTCAATCAGATGCTTCGCTCTCAACTTCACTAATAATCAATATGCTGTTTTTGGCGGTTGACGGTACTTCGTTTTTTTGACGGTACCACTTTTGGCGGTTCAAGGTATTGCGAACTATGACGGTATTCCCGCGGAGTACCGGGACCGGCCTATACGACGGGAAAAAACCTCGGGAATTTTCCCGAGGACTACCCTGAATATTTATCCTGGACTCTCTTGTCGGACTAATAGAGATGAGATTGTTTCGTAGTCAAAGAAAAATAATGTGTCCACTGGAGTAGACGAGTGAGACTCGGGGATGAACTCGCGGCACACGAAAACGAAGTACGAAGCTGCCGGGAATTGAACCCGGATCTGATCCGTGACAGGGATCAATTCTAACCATTATACCACAGCTCCCCGTTCGGTACATGAGTCGATACACTTTCTCCATATACTCCACACTTTTTCCTGTTTGAGCAGGTTGTCGTCGGCTCCCTTGTTGGAGCAAGATCGTTATATCAAGTTTATTTGTTTCGGAGTACAAATTATCGGCATTTCGCTGAATACCTGCTGTATGACATTTCGGGATGGTGAGACAGGTGAAGGGGTGGGGCACTACTAATACAATGCGGACGCGCAACGACGCGTAAACGTGAACTTCGTAATTTGACGTCCGCACCAACCAGCATATGACGCTATTATTAATCCATTGCTCATGGACGAAACGAGTGTAGCATATTTATCCTGGACTCTCTTGTCCGGATTATAGAGATGAGATTGTTTCGTAGTCAAAAAAAAATAATGTGTTTACTGGAGTGGACGAGTGAGACTCGGGGATGAACTCGCGGCACACGAAAAGGAAGTACGAAGCTGCCGGGAATTGAACCCGGATCTGATCCGTGACAGGGATCAATTCTAACCATTATACCACAGCTCCCCGTTCGGTACATGAGTCGATACACTTTCTCCATATACTCCACACTTTTTCCTGTTTGAGCAGGTTGTCGTCGGTTCCCTTGTTGGAGCAAGATCGTTATATCAAGTTTATTTGTTTCGGAGTACAAATTATCGGCATTTCGCTGAATACCTGCTGTATGACATTTCGGGATGGTGAGACAGGTGAAGGGGTGGGGCACTACTAATACAATGCGGACGCGCAACGACGCGTAAACGTGAACTTCGTAATTTGACGTCCGCACCAACCAGCATATGACGCTATTATTAATCCATTGCTCATGGACGAAACGAGTGTAGCATATTTATCCTGGACTCTCTTGTCCGGATTATAGAGATGAGATTGTTTCGTAGTCAAAGAAAAATAGTGTGTTTACTGGAGTGGACGAGTGACACTCGGGGATGAACTTGCGGCACACGAAAACGAAGTACGAAGCTGCCGGGAATTGAACCCGGATCTGATCCGTGACAGGGATCAATTCTAACCATTATACCACAGCTCCCCGTTCGGTACATGAGTCGATACACTTTCTCCATATACTCCACACTTTTTCCTGTTTGAGCAGGTTGTCGTCGGTTCCCTTGTTGGAGCAAGATCGTTATATCAAGTTTATTTGTTTCGGAGTACAAATTATCGGCATTTCGCTGAATACCTGCTGTATGACATTTCGGGATGTTGAGACAGGGGAAGGGTTGGGGCACTACTATTATAATGAGGGCGCGCAGGGACGCGTAGATAAACGTGAACTTCGTAATTTGACGTCCGCATCAACCAGCATATGACGCTAATAATAGTAATTTATTGCTCATGGACGAAACGAGTATACTTCCTCTGTATCATAAGTCTGGTCTGGTATGTGCGTGTAGTAGTAAAGATACTTACACGTTGACGTTTAGCCTTTGGCTGGGTGCGTTGGAAAGGCAAGACATATGCAAAGCTGACCAAAAAAAAAAATCAAAGACCGTGTTATACACTCAAATTATGCCCATTTTGGCCTGTTTTGCGACATTTTTGTAGAACGTTTTTGAGATTTTTTTTGAGATTTTTTTTGAGAATTTTTTTAGTATTCGTGAGATCAGTCGTGATTATCACCCCCCACACACTATGCAAACGATGGATACGCCCCCAAGTACCCCCCCACATCGCCCCAAGGGCGGCGAGCTTTCAGTGGGCCGTCGCATTGCAATTGTAGTGGAGGCTGCGCTGGCTATTCCGCCGGGCCAAGTACGGATACCCAAGCAAGGGTGCGCTGGGCCCACCGACATCAACAGACACTTTTCCTGCCCGTAAGTGTCTTGGTTTTAGTGTGGAACCCCCAAGTGTCTTAGTTTTAGTGTGGGGCCACTATTATACTGCATTGAGTATAGGGGGGCGCGATGTGGGTCGCTGAGTAGAGGGGGGGGGGGGATTCGGGCCCTACTCTGTTGTTTTTTTGCCCCGCAAGTGTCTTGGTTTTAGTGTGGGATCCCCAAGTGTCTTGGTTTTAGTGTGGGCCCCCAAAATGTCTTGAATTTAGTGTGTGGATCACTATCAATATGGTTTTAGTATGGGGGACGTATTGTGGATGGCTGAGTCTAGGCGGGGTTAGCTTTAGGGTTGGGAATAGTTCTTGGTTTTGGGGGGGGAGGGGTTAGGCTCAATGCCCCACGTACCCCACCCCCCGGAAAAGGGCGAAATATGGCCGTTTTCGGGCCGACTCAAGGTTTTCCATTCGTTTAGTGGCATGGTTCAAGCACCAGCTTTAAAAAAAAAAAATGTTTTCTTGCTCAAAAAACGCCGTAGAATTCAACAAAAAAAACGAAAAACAGATCGGACACCGATAAGGCGGCGTATAAACCTATCAGACATATAGACTTAAGATACAGAGGAAGCAGCATATTTATCCTGGACTCTCTTGTCCGAATAATAGAGATGAGATTGTTTTGCAGTCAAAAAAAACTAGTGTATCTTCTGCAGGCGAGTGCGACTACAGGATGACTCGCGGCACACGAAAACGAATAACGAAGCTGCCGGGAATTGAACCCGGATCTGATCCGTGACAGGGATCAATTCTAACCATTATACCACAGCTCCCTGCTCTTATGGAATGCGCTCTATTTTCGCAATATATTCTTGGCTTTTCCTGTTTGAGCAGGTCGCCTTTGTTCCTGTGGTGCATAATTAATTAGACTTATGTGCACCAATTCGGGATGTTGAGGCAGAGAAGAGGTGGGGCACTCCAAACCACGGACGCGTAATCGTGTACGCCTGCACTAGCCGGGGTGATGGGAAGAGGGTACGAAGCACGGCTGACCCTTTATTAGTGTCGTCGGCACAGCTTCCTGCTAATATCAGTAAAATAGGCGGCATGTACATAGCCCGACAGCCTGCAGCAGTATTAGTAGCACCGAGGGAGCAAGGGGAGGATATAGAGCTAGCCCTCCATCCTGAAACATGCCGCTGTCAAGGACAAAAAACTTGTAATGTTACACAGGATACCCTCAGTTGCACAAACCGGTTGACCAATGGAAGGGCATGGTCTCATAGTGGGAGAGAAACCAATGGTTCATTGTGCGTGCTTCTTCTCTCAAGAATCTCCAAAAGCAGACATCGTTATCCGTAGAAAAAAAAACCGAATCGAGCACAACAAACTCTTCATAAACCCTAACGTCATCTAAAAAACGCCAAACACTGTTCACGTAGACACTGCTGTACTTCGGTGTGAAATGTAAGGTACGGACGGGTTATACGAAGGAGATTGAGAAGGAAGGCCAGCCTCAGGACCCAGAAAACGCTGCGGCTATGTGCGTGACGCTTCAGTAGCAACCATCCTCAGCGTTGACTTCCGTTGGTTTCGGTTGGCATGTGCCCGGTGCTCGATACACACCGCACCAAGCACGAAACTGCATCGGACCACCGGCGGCCTCGCAGAGGTTTTTGTTTGTTTTTGTTTGTTTTTCTCCCATCATTGGACTCTGTCGTCTGCCCCTCTGGCCCCTATCCTCCACTTCTACCAGCTAGACGACCCAACCGGGGTCACAAAGGAGGGGGGGGTTGGACCCCCTCCTGCAGTTCCTGCCTGAGATGTTTTTATCGCGAGAAGGGTACAGCAATCCCTTCCCTCGCGACTTATGAAGTCGATCAAGTTTACTAACAACGAGCTTTGCAACGCGTCGCTTCCAACGGAGACCAGGATTATTTAAGCGAGAAAAAACTCACTCTGTCGGGACTCGAACCCATGACCTGGCCCTTAGCAGGCTACGAGGCTACCCACTAGACCACCGGGGCGACCGGTTATTGTGCAAAGGTGTCAACGTGCGGCGCAGCAGGATGGTCCTGCAGCATGTACGTATGAATGTACATGCTGCAAGACAGATCTACGTACAGCAGCAGCAGCAGTTCGCACCTTTTCGGCTTTCGCTTCCTCGCTGGCGGGTTCGACGAGGGTGTACAGGGTGTCCTCCTCCACGGCGTCGTTGAGAAGTTGCCACAGAAGCTGCCACGTCTTCACCGCCGCGTTGTAGGAATCGATCTACAGCAGTATTGACACACGACCGGGGGGGGCGGGGGGGGCGTACTCTTATGTTTTGCATGCCTTGGCGGTTAGACCATTGACCACGCG